GTGTGCGCAACAGGAAATACTTCACTTTCAGAGAACAAGAAAAATAGGTTTATTTGCGTTACACTTATTTACTTGTGCAGTTATTCAGTGTCTGGCAAGTTAATGTTCAAGAAAAAATTAATTTCTATTAAAATGTTCTATTATTTTATGTTAAGGATTACTCATTTATTGCAGCCCTTTGTATTCAGCATGTCTCTATTGAATTAAACCTACGTTTCTACGAAAATTGAAGCTTTTTTTTTTTTTTTGCGGCCCACATAAACTTAAACCTTGTTTATTTGGCCCGTGTTAGCCTTTGAGTTTGACATGCTTGCTCTATGTCTTTCTCCATCTCTCTCTCTCTCTCTCTCTCTCTCTCTCTCTCTCTCTCTCTGGCAGTCACTATTGATTGTCTTGGTCTCCCCTTTGATGCTTTCTCTTCCCTGTTCTCTCTTGTAGAATCTGGTGTGGCTGCACTCTCACTGTGTGATACCTGTGTAACGGTGCAGTCAGAGTAGGCGAGGAGGCGGGGATGTGCTGTGGGCTGGGCAGAGCTCATTTGCTGCACGACTGCTTTTTCCCAGGGAAGCTTCTGGAGTGCTTAACCATTAACCATTGCACCTGCTTCATTTTTGTCTTATCTTCACATAGACTTCAGGACTCCTGTGAGCGGGGCAGAAGTGTAGTTTGGAGAGCCTCAGACTAGGGGTACCCCCTGTGCTGAGGTCCTTTGGAAGGAGGTACAGGCCTGGGAGTGATTTCCTGGTCTGACTAAATGGGACAAGAAGGGAGGGAGACAGCAAGGCCCTGCATGAGCAATTCCAAAATAAGAATATCAGTACCAAAAAGGCAGGGCTGTCTTCTGCATCCTGGAAATACCCTCATTTTTAGGAACAAGGAAATTTGATTTAAAAAATGATAAAATATCCATATTATCGCTCAGTAGGTACAAGATAGCACCATGGCAGATGTTCCGTAAACATGAGCTAAGTGGCCCGGCCTCATACTGGAGTGCATCTTGAAACTCTGCTTTCACTTCCCATAATGTGCTCTGGATGCTGCTGCATTCCAGCTCTTTGGCTTGTGTTTTTGTAAACAGAGCCTTGATTGAATGACTAGTGTTTAGGCTTTCGAGTAACTGTCTCTGCTTCATCTGGGCCCTCATTGCTTTGCCTTTGGCATCAGGAGAGCTCAGCCTTCCAGGTGGCACTCTGCGTCACCCTGTGGCTGTGGCGGTTCTGGGAGAGGGCACTGCTCCTCAGAGTCAGGGAAGAAGGGAGTTGGGACAGGGTTGGGTGGGGGAGTGTCAGTCGTTTTCCCGGCCTGCAGCTGGCTTATCCCCTGAGGCTTATCACACTGACATTGTATTGTAGTTTTTCTCTTAAAAGTACGGGACCTTCTGGGGACCTCTGGTCACAAGTCATACCTGTGCCAGGTGGCCCATGCTGCTTCTGGGAGGTGAACATTATCACAGGTGCCTCTTCTTGGGACAGATGAGATGTGGAGTGAAGAATGTGGTGTCTGGGCATCCAGATTTTGTTTTATTTCTAGGGCTAGAAGGAATGGGGGTGGTTTTTTTTGTTGTCATATTTTTTGCTTTGTGTTTTGTCTTCTGAATTCTAATTAGATTTTTTTTAAAATGTTTGCCCACCTGCTCCCTAGAGACTGTGAGTTGCTTCCATATTACTCCAGCAGTTTTTAGAAATGAAATCAAACCATGTGTTTCGCTTATGGAATAAAGCCTAGACCAGTGATGGCGAACCTATGACACGCGTGTCAGAGGTGACACGCAAACTCATTTTTTTTGGTTGATTTTTCTATGTTAAATGGCATTTAAATATATAAAATAAATATCAAAAATGTCAGTCTTTGTTTTACTATGGTTGCAAATATCAAAAAATTTCTATATGTGACACGGCACCAGAGTTAAGTTAGGGTTTTTCAAAATGCCGACACGCCTAGCTCAAAAGGTTCGCCATCACTGGCCTAGACTATCAAATTAGGTCAGGTAGGATGCACCTCGTAATAAGGTCTCCAGGGTGACATCCAAGACTCCTCCAGGCAGGCAGGGCTTGTGTGCATTCCTTCGAGGCCCATTTTTATTTGTAAACAGTGATGAAAAATAGGAGACATGGAAATAGGAATGGAGGGGAAATGACCTAGATGCTTGGCAATCCAGGTAGGATTATAAATGTATGTCCAAGGAAATAAAACACCACGAGCAGGACCCTCCTTTATGATTGTGTTTGCTCCATTGGCGTTTCCCATCTCTCCTTGGAGCTCATGAGTGGAGCAGTTACTTACAGTTATGTCAAGGGAAGCAAGAGGATATAAAATGGCCCATAGATAAAAGCGTTCCAGTATGAAACCCTGAACTATGTAAGTTACATCTGGATGCACTCATAAAATACAGAAACTTTGCCCCAGGGCTGCGGGTTTACAGGTCTTCATTGGGCATGTTGGGGGGAGGGGAAGGCACTCTTCCATTCAGGTGTGTACGTGTCTTTAGGTCGCCAGGAGGCCTCCTGCTCCGTGGTCTGCTGCTAGTCTAAAGGCCTGGTTGAGGTTGATAAGGAGAATAATAGAATTTTCAGATACTTAACAATGACTGTTGACCACGTATGTGCTCTCTGGATCTCCTTTTGCTCTCTTTCCCCTTTTTATCTTGTGAGTACAGTGATGCTGATGCTCTGAATAGGAGAGGGATGTGTGAGTGTGTAAATCTAAGAAGTAACTTTTTCATTGGTGTGATTGGTCTCATTCTTTATTGGTTACATGGGTGTCCCAATTATGCCCCGATTAATTAATTATCTGTCTAGACTTAGTGGGACAAACACAGGTGACCAGGAGTCAGCAATCACGGCCTGTGCCCTGGTGATTCAATGCTAAACAGCTGAGCCGAACCGGAACACATGAACACACAAGACAGAATTAGTGTGCAATCACTCAGGGTTTACTTACCTATTCCTAGCGGGTCCTAGGCTCCAGCAGAGGCCACCGGCCATGCACACCGAAAGACGGACGATGAAGACCGAGACAGACAGGCGGCCGCACTTCGTTCAGGCTCGCACAGCAGAGCAGTCAGTCAGGGGCTTGTCCCACGGTGCTGGGGTCCAACCCCAGCAGGTCCAGGGGTCCCCAAAGGTGTGGACAGAGTCGGCGAAGAAGGAATGCCTTTCCTTCCTGTTCTGGTCTGGATCTTCAGCCAGGTTCTGTTTCCATGTTCTCTTGCTAGGTTCTCCAGCCAGGTTCTGTCCAGGTTCTCCAGCCAGGTTCAGTCACCAGGTTCTAGTCAGGTTCTCTTGCCATGTTCTATCCAGGTTCTGTAGGCAGGTTCTCTCACTAGGTTCTGTCTCTAGGTTCTGTGTAGGTTCTGTGTCTAGGTTCTGTGGCCAGTTTCTGTCCAGGATCTTTTGCCATGTTCTCTCCAGTGAAGTTCTTCTGTCTCTAGGTTGTGTGTCTAGGTTCTGTGTCTAGGTCCTGTGTCTAGGTTCTGTGTCTAGGTTCTGTCTCCTGTTGTCTTGTTACGTCTGTATTTATACCAGTTGATTCCAATCCTATCAATCTCTATTCCAAAGGTTAGGGTGTTTCTTATCTCCATTCCAGGGAGTAAAGATTATGTAGCTTAAGCATGATTGTTTGTAGTTAAAGTGATTAATTACCTGCCTGGCACTTAGTTAAGGGGTTTTATTCCCTCCCTAACTTCAGGGGAAAATCCCTACCTGGGGAAACAACCTTTCTCAGAGAGGTGACCTTGGTTAAAACACATAGTGCCAAGAAGGTGAGCAAACATATTAAGAACAGTATGCCATATATGCCAGGCCCCTTGAAACAGCAAGGATGGACCGGCTCCCGGCACCACGGAGCTGAGCGATGTGGAGTCCTCCTCTCCTCAGGCGGGAGACATCGACAGAACAAAATCTGTTGCTTATGTAGCCAGTGGTCAACAACTTGTGTCTCATCCGTGTGGGCCAGACGGTGTGCCTTTGCTCACATCAAGATAGTGGGGCGTTCACCACATTTTGGAAGTTACCGAGTATTGGGGTCTTCACACAGCAAACATTTCTCACATTAATCATTTCACACAGTAATTATTTCCCCACATTACAGGGGTTTCCTTATGACCATAACATTATTATAACAATGGGTAAGTTGGGAAATTCATGTATGAGGAAACCTTAATACCCCAATTATCCTTTGTGTGTGCTAATATCCCTATTCCAAAAAGATGATACTGTTTAATGAAGTTTCTCTGAAAATTGACTTTGTGGTATATGTACATTCTGTGAAAAATGTTAATTTAAAGTTTGCTCAAAATTAGTTATAGTAAAATAAATAATTTTTTTAAAGTTTCTGGCAATACAAAAATAAGTAAGTGAATAGATTGACTCAAAACCCACAGGATTCCTAATGGTTCACAATCTGTTACCTTCCACTGCTTAGAAAAAAGCTGTTTCAAATCTACCCCTGCTCGCTGTGCAGCATGGGGTCTTGAGTGGTAAACAGCTAAGGCAGGGGTGGGCAAACATTTTGACTCGAGGGCCACAATGGGTTCTTAAACTGGACCGGAGGGCCGGAACAAAAGCATGGATGGAGTGTTTGTGTGAACTAATATAAATTCAAAGTAAACATCATTACATAAAAGGGTACGGTCTTTTTTTTTTTTAGTTTTATTCATTTCAAACGGGCCGCAGTTTGCCCACGGCTGGGCTAAGGAGTTGTTTCCTGCACAGGTGGGCTTGGGTTAGATTACAGTGGGTTTTCTAACATGGTTGCTGTGACCCTCCGCTGCTTCTCCTTGGGAAAAAGGGCATTCGGAGCTCCTGGGCCACTTCTGGCCACAGACCATGGCTGTTGGCCCCCTGGGAAAATCCTGCGTCCCGTTTCTGATGTTATACGTCTTCCTTTTCATCTTTTCCAAGCCCCCATCATCCCTAATGGTGTATCTTGTTGTCTGCCAGTAAAATTTAAGAATATGTCATAAATTAAGGATGGTTCTGCATTGCCTCTTATCTGACTAGCATCTGTGGGTGTCAGCTGCCAACAAGTAGCTCGGGTGTCTGGGCCGATCCTGAATACTCACAGGCTGACACACTCTCTCCTGATAAAAGGTACCTTCATATGTGCATGCGGGTTTCAATATAAATGTTGTATGCCTCAGTACAACTGTAAGAGGATCGCTCCACCCAATACAATGATTTGGCTGGGACTTTTAAAGAGCTGGGTATAAATATCGCTAGAAATTATAGAGCAAGCATAAGTACTTCACTCTGAGCTCTGCTGAGCATTTTCAGGATGCTTCTGACTGCATCTGTGCAATCTGAGTTTATACAGAGGAAGGGCAACGGGGGATGGGGGCCGAGATAGTCAAACCAGGTCACGCATCCTTCCAGGGAAGCTACCAAGTAATGGCGAACCCCAAAGGGTTTCAGTGATGATAAAGGAAAAGTTTTTCACTTTTCATTCTTATCTCATCAGCCACCCGCATTTTGTTGGTGTGTGTCCATACCTTATCTACAAATCTACATGCATGAGTTCAGACATATCTTGTTAGGGCTGTTATGTTCAAACAGAACAGATTTTGTTCTCCAGAGAGACATTCTATCTGTGTAGGTGATAAGAATCAAAGTATTGCCAGTCTTTTGTGTGTTAATGAAGTATTTTCTTCTCCTAATTCTGTGCAACAACAACAGAAAACAACCTATATCTAAGATGGCATGTGCATAGAGTGAAGTATTTATTTTATTGCTTTAAAGCTGTTAAAGGGAAAACAGGATAGTTTGTAGTGGTGATGGTGGTGGTGGTGGTGGTGGTGATGGTGATGGTGATGATGGTGATGGTGATGGTGATGATGGTGGTGGTGATGGTGGTGATGGTGGTGGTGAATGTTGAACCTGTGACACATTATGTCAAAATGCTGAAGTCCTTTAAGGTCAAGAGATGACTCTCTCCTATGCACAAGTCTTTTTATTTTGTACACACTGAAACTCTTGAAGAAGGAAAAAACATAATACACCACTTTTCTTAATGCAGTTTCACATTTGCTATTTAATTCCACAGCGTTTAATTTTAAAATGAGCTCTGGATGCCAGGTTTCGTATAGGCCAGTGGTCGGCAAACTCATTAGTCAACAGAGCCAAATATCAACAGTACGATTGAAATTTCTTTTGAGAGCCAAATTTTTTAAAATTAAACTATATAGGTAGGTACATTGTTATTAGCTTAATTAGGGTACTCCTAAGGCTTAGGAAGAGCCACATTCAAGGGGCCAAAGAGCCGCATGTGGCTCACGAGCCGGTTTGCCGACCACGGGTATAGGCGATGAGCTGTCATTAATTGATTTGGATCCGCTGTGTCAGTTTCTTTGTTCTCTCATCCTGCTTGTCTGATAGATCAGAAAGGAGGATGGTTAACAAAGGAGCCACTGAGGTCCGAGAGGGTGCGTTTCAGGCTAGTAACTAATAACTAGTAACTAGTCACTAGTAGGTGTGAATACTAACTTTACAGTGCTGATGCGGTGTTTGTTTTATCATGACTTTCTAAGACTTCCTCCAGTGTGTCTCTTTGTTAGTATGATCGCCCCCTCTCCCTTTCCTGCAAAACACCAGCTTAATAAACAGAACAAACATGACCCCTTGCTTTGTCCTGATCTTCCCATTCTGTACTTTTAACTCAATCCGTCCCTGCCGGCATTGCATCTCTCCCATCATATGCAGAGAGGTACTCGGGTGCGATAAATCCTTCAGAATTAGAAGCCGTGCTCAGCATTTGACCTGGTGGCTCACACACACCCTCGGCCACCACAGCTGGCAAATGCTGGTGGTTTATTTTGGGGCTGGTATAAGAGGCTGTGTCTGACGGCTGTGAGTGTCAGCTCAGGGCTGAGATTGTCCTGTAATGTGGCCTCAACTCTTGTCTCCTTGCCCAGACTGCTCACTAGAAGCTCAGCCCAAATATGTTAGAGGTGGGAAGCGTTATGGACGAAGGTCCTTACCGGAGTTTCAAGAATCCGTGGAGGAGTTCGCAGAGGTGACAGTGATTGAGCCCCTCGAAGAAGAAGAAGAAGAAGAAGAAGCAAGGCCTTCACACGTTCCGGCCGGAGACCACCATGAGGTAAGGGATCGGACAGACACATCCATCTGGACTGCAGGTGTGTCTGTCCATGACACCGCATGGCTGTGATGCAGACAGGAAGCCTGAGGGAGTTCATGGCTTTTCTCAGTTAACCAACTGCTTGCTAATCTCCTTACTTGCCTTTTGGACACATATGGCTAACTTTTCTATCGTTTGAATGTTTTCATCCGTTTCAGCTTTGGGAGAGCTGATGTTTCTATGCATGCTTTATGTTTATACATTTTTTGATTCAGTTATTTCCAGATGATCTGGTGTCTGCTGCTTCTAGCTGTTCTTAGAAACAGATCTCTCCTCCGTGACCCTGTCATTTTCAGTTGTGAAAAGCTAACCAGCCCCATCCCCAAACAATAAAACAGCGCCCGTGGCAGGTAGGACATGAAGGCGGTGTGTTTAGGCACTGCGAGAGCTGGCATCTTATCTGGTGGTGGGGGAAGCAGTTTTAAAACTTGGTCCTTGTCACAGCTCTCAGCTGTTGCCATGGTTCTTCCTCCCAGTTCCGCGGCACCAGGCTCGTCTGGCTCTCCAGCAGTCAGACGCACCTGCCTCCCTCATCGCCTGCCTTTTCATTTTACACGTTGCCATCTTGTACCAATAAAGGAGAAGCAGTTACAACATTTTCTTGATTCTTTCTTTCCAGCCCATTGACTGGCATGCCATTTATAGGACATGATTGAATGTGTCATGCTGAGCATGCTCTAAACACTTCTTGCATATCCCAGCTCAGCCTGGGGATGCCAGTATTTCAGATACTAATATAAACTGGAAAAGAGACCAAATGTCTGTAGATTGTGGGTTGACTGTGTGTGTGTGTGTGTGCGCGCGTGTGCATTTCTGTCTAACGTCCATGTGCAGCCCACTGCGACTTACAGGAAGGTTGCTCCGTTAGTTTCCCCAGCAGTCAGACATAGAGCACCCCCAACTTTCCGGAATACTCGCAAGCCCAAAGGTACGAAAGAGCCCACGTCCTGAGCAGAAATGAAACCGGCCACAAGTACTGCAGTTTAGATGACACGTGACTAGTCTGCCAATCAGAAGCTTGCACCATTTTTAAAAAAACAAACAATACCCGATCCCACCCCACAAGTGAAGGAGCAGTGTCAGAAATGTGAGCCAGAACGGAAGAAAGGTAGCTAGAGAAGAGGGCGAGAAACCACAAACATGGTGTCAGCGTCGTGTGGGTGAGAAGTGACAGATGAAAACAGAGAAGGCCGTGAGAAGCCAGAAGGAAAACGCCGCCTGGAACATCACAGCCCTGGGGGCCGGTCGGTCTGAGGCAGCGGCTACTTCCTGTCTTGGTTCAGTGGGTTTCAGACCCTTTCCTGGGTCCCATTGAGAATGTAGATAGGGCCTTTCCCCCCAATGAAACACATTCATTCACATGCACCAGCATGTTGCATATACAGTTCCAGGGAGGCCAGTAATTTGCATGCTTCAGTTTTTACAGTGTTGGTAATATTTATCTTGCTGTCAGAAAGGGCATCATTTTATTACACAAAGTCTGTTTAGTGACCCCGAGTCCTGTAGCATGTGCCTGAGACACCTCTCTGTGGAAACATGGTTAAAACATGTCTCAGCACTTTAGGAGGTAAGCTTTTGTTATTTGGAGAACACTTTTAAGACTGGCATCTCCATTTCCAGCTATTTTGAGTACCGGGGGCATTAGTATTTGCTGTTAAGAAATGAAATGATTGCTTAGTTTTTTTAAAAAATATTTTTATTGATTTTTAGAGAGAGAGAGAAAGAGAGAAACATTGATGAGAGAGGAAGTCATTGATTGGCTGCCTACTGGGGATCGAGCCCGCAACTAAAGCATGTGCCCTGCCTGCCTGGGAGTTGAACAAGCAACCTCTTGATTCCTGGTCGATGCTCAACCACTGAGCCACACCAGCCGGGCTGATTACTTAGTTTTTAATAAGATAGTTTCTGGTTACCACCTGGGGATACCCAAAAAGTTCTCAGGCAGAGCTGATTTTGTTGCTGGCAGTATATTTCTTACAGCCTTGTTTTATCTTATCTACTGACTTCCAGTGAGATTTATTGTTTAAAAAGTGAGAGTCTGGTTTCATGTCTAAATAAAGATAAGAGTTGAGGCCTGAGTCTGGGCAAAAGATTGGAAGGGAGGGGGAAGAGAGGGAGAGAGAGAGAGAGGCAGACTGATAGACAGACATTGATCGGTTGCCTCCTGCACACATCACTACCGGGGGCCAGATCAAACCTGAAACCGAGATACGGGACCTTGGCTGGAAATGGAACCTGAGACCCTTTGGCGCTCGGGCCGAGGCTCTAACCACTGAGAATGCTGGCCAGGGCAGGTATGACCTTTTGATGCTAAATATAGAAGCTTTGGTGTCCAACTACCCACCGGCAACTGCCGGGAGCCGGTCCATGCTTGCTGTTTCAAGGGACCTGGCATATATGACATACTGTTCTTAATATGTTTGCTCACCTTCTTGGCACTATGTGTTTTAACCAAGGTCTCTGAGAAAGGTTGTTTCCCCAGGTAGGGATTTTCCCCTGAAGTTAGGGAGGGAATAAAACCTCTTAACTAGTGCCAGGTGGGTAATTAATCACTTTAACTACGAGCAATCATGCTTAAGCTACATAATCTTTACTCCCTGGAATGGAGATAAGAAACGCCCTAACCTTTGTAATAGAGATTGATAGGATTGAATCAACTGGTATAAATACAGATGTAGTAAGACAGCAAGAGACAGAACTTAGAACACAGAACTAAGAGAGACGGAACCTAGGCACAGAACCTACACAGAACGTTCTCTAGAGACAGAAGAACTTCGCTGGAGAGAACATGGCAAAAGTTCCTGGACAGAAACTGGCCTCAGAACCTAGAGACAGAACCTAGCGAGAGAACATGGCAAAAGATCCTGGACTGAACCTGACTACAGAAATTGGCAAGAGAACCTGACTAGAACCTGGCAACTGAACCTGGCTGGAGAACCTAGCGAGGGAACATGGCTACAGAACCTGGCTGGAGAACCTGGAGAACCTGGCTGGAGAACCTAGCAAGACAACATGGATACAGAACCTGGCTGGAGATCCTAAGCAGAACCTCTCTGGAGATCCAGACCAGAACTTGGCTGGAGATCCTGGCTGGAGATCCTGGCTAGGCTGCTGATCAACTGAACACTGTCTCCGTGTCCTTCCTTCTTCGCCGACTCCATCCACACCTTTGGGACCCCTGGACCTGCTGGGGTTGGACTCCGGCAGGCAACCGAATAGCTAACAGAGGCCTGGAGGGGTCATTTCTCTCATTGTCTGCTTCCCGAGGACTTCTCCTGCCTGGACTTTGATGGTCTGTTATATCCTCCCCAGAAAGCCTCCAGGAGTTCCAGTTACCGCCTCTCACCCTGTCTTTTTAAATTCGGGAATGTGGACTCAATCCGAAGCTCATCGAGCTGCTTTCTTGCTTAAAAATGAAGTGTTTGGGGAGCTGAATGGAACCTGTCAGTTTTCAAATCAATTAATCGCTTTAAAAAATGAGAGCGTCCCATGTGACATTTTGGATGTTCCTGTTGGCAGTGAGACAGGCCAGCCCCAGCTTCGTGCTGTACCCGTGGTCGTAGGTCACAGCCACGGATACCTGCATCCTGCTGGCAGTGTCGCCAGTGTGTCCGTCTTATGCATACTTCTGGGCCCGGATAGCAGTCCTGGTTCCTGGCCCATTGTCCGAGTAGCCTCAGCTTGGCCAACAGAAGTCCACCCTCCGGGCAGCATGGGCCTGTGTGAGAAATACCCTCGTCCCTTCTGCAGAAGCTGCTCGGGTCTCCTCGGAGTGCTGGGTCATCGTTCCTATCTAGGGTAGCCCCGATGGGGACGCTGGAGGGGCACCAATTCTCAGTGACCTGTGGGATTTATTTATTCTTAATTTATAAAGAGCTCAGAATCTGTCAGGAGTTCTTTATTGTACTGTTGACTTCTTTTCTCCCTTCTGGTTGCGTGAGTCCCTTTGCTCTCCTGCCCTTGGGTGTTAGGAATTTATTCCTCGGTTGTGCTTTTTATCAGCGGCTCACACTTCCTCTCAGTGCCACCGGGCAACACCGAGGGAGGGGCGTGCTGGGTCTCCCCAACGGGACTATTTCCTGAGAAGCAGTCAGGCGGAGAGCTGGAGACGTGCTTCTCGTTTTGATCGTGCATTTCCTTTGACTCCGGATTCTGGCTCAGGGGCCAGTGGGACTCGGGGCTGCCTTTGGGCTGCAGTTTCTCCTGCCCTCAGACATGCCTAGAGCGACTGTGGAGCTTTTTGATGAAGACTAAAGGATCCGTACCTGCTGTCAGAGTTAAATGCGGGGCGGGGGTGTTGGTTCTGGCTATAGCTACCCAAGAGACTAATTTTAGCTCTAGGGTGAATCAAGTAATTATTTTATTTATCTGAGGACTGGGTAGGGGTGGACAGTGGAAAGGAACGGTGTCACAGGCACCTATAAAAGCTGTCCTCGTGTCGGCTCGCTTCCTTCTAGGAACTCATCCTGGGGGGATATGTGAGCAAACAGTCAGCTGAAGGGATAAAACAATACCCCCCCTTCTCTCTAGGGTTATTCCGCAATAGGGGAGTTGCTAAAGATTGACAGTTTGTTCCGAGGCTCCTGGTTAGGGGTTCAGAATCTTTTTCTGCATCTTTCCTCAGAAGTCCTTCTCCCACCATGCCTGTAACAGACACTCGAGGTAATTCTCAGTAGTCAGGCTTCTCTGCGTCTACCTGTCACTCCACCCTTCCCCTCCCACCCAAGAAAACATGGTCACGCAGGCAAGTGAGAGTGGTGCTAAGATGGATTTTATTTTTATATACATTTATTTTCATGTGAGTCCCATGTGAAGCTCCAGGCTCCCTCAGTTACAGCGACTTGGAACTCCTCCCGTGGCTGTTTGTGGTGCCCCGTTGTGATCCGGAGCCGTGGGTGAGCACCCGGAGCCGTGGATGAGAACCCAGAGCCGTGGGTGAGCACCCGCGTGGTTAGTCTGGA